ACAGTTCGTGAGTTCAAGTCCCCACATCCTGTGCTGACAGCTCAGAGCCTGGAGCCTGCGATGAATTCTGGTTCTCCCTCTCTCTCTCTGCCCCTCCCTCACTCATACTCTCTCAAAAATAAATTCAAAAAAAAAACCATTAAATTCAAATAGCTCTCACCATGTGACAAATCAAGATACAACCTAAAACTGTAAAAATGTTAATTGCCACCAGTGTCCTAACAGTGAGAACAAATGACCAAAGATTTATATAGGGTTAGTTTATCTTTTTGTATTTCTGAACTTGAAAATTTTCTTGATCCCTAAACAAAATCAAAATTCAAAAATCAAAGTCCTGAATAAAATCAGATTCCAAAAAAACCCACAAAACATTAAACCTGCTTGCCACACTAGAGTATTACATAGAATTTACTGTGACCACACAAAATCCCAAAGACAGTGCTTTAAAATAATTATTTTCAAAATTAAGCTTTCAACCGAAATCAACATATAAACATTACAAGCCATAATATCAAAAAAAAAAAAAAAAAAAAAGAAGTATGACAGTATCTTGTTAAATGTTGGTTAGATAAAATAAAATATAAATCATCCAAAGCCTTAGGTTTGCAATTCAACCAAGCTCACAGCTGGACTTTTGTTCTTCACCAAACATACACTAAAAACTTTCCTCATTCTCAATTAAGGGGAAAAAAACAAAGGTCTTTCCTGTTAAAACATGTATTGTTCCAGGGCACCTGGGTGGCTCAGGAGGTTAAACGACCAACTCTTGATTTCAGCTCAGGTCATGATCTCATGGTTTGTGGATCTGAACCCCAAGTAGGGCTCTGCACTGACAGCATGGAGCCTGTTAGAGATTCTCTCTCTCCCTCCCTCCAACCCCCCCCCCCCGCCCTTCCCCAACTTGTACACTGGCTCTCTCTCTCTCTCACAAAATAAATAAACTTAAATTTTTTTAAATAAAAAAATAAAAAAACATGTACTGTTTCCTATCTCCAGCCACCAACATTTGAAAGTTCAGTAACAAAAGGACTATGAGACATAAAAACAGCTGGGTATTTATTTTAGAAACAATTTTCTAAAAGGACTCCATAATAATGAGCCATACACATTAGGCAATTCTTAGCAAATGTGTTTTTACATTTGACAGGATTCTAGAACACACTTCTGTGGCCCAATCAGATCAAACATTTAGAAGGCATCTAAATCCCCACTCTCAAACTGGAACGAGGAAATTTGTTTAATTACTGTAAATCCTATTAAACCAATCTTCTTTGTAAGGTGGAAAATGTCCGACCTCTGAGGGCTCTGGAGGGTATAATGAATGCAGAGTTTAATTAGGGCCCACTGTCGCTCACTATAATCTATTAATTAGCATTCCCAGTTCTCTGTATCTCACTGCAATGTCTCACTTTACTTTAAAATTGCACCCTTTGCTTTTTGGACCGAAGTTATACAATTTTAGGATTGTGTGGTAATTACAGAGGGTGCAGGAAGAATATATTCCTGCCAGCACTAGTGCTTAATTAGGGCAAGGGGCGGAATCTAGATAAGGCTGTGTTCACCCTCCTTCAGTGCATATGGTTTTTTTGGCATCACAGCCTGTGGACTGTTTCACTTCCACTGGACTGAAGTGCAGAGTTCCCAATACACACTTTGCAGAAGACTCAAATATTCTGCCTTTCAATGTAGCTTGGTAATTAGAAAGGACATTACTTTTTATCCACACAGCTTTCAAAGTATAAGCATAATTAGCTGCCTCAATTATTTCAAAATAAAGACATATACCAATAATTTTTTTCCTGTTAAAATGGACATTTCCAAATTGTTTGATAAGAAAAACCATCTTGGTGAAAGGCATATTTTCAGCATCACCAGAAAGGTACACTGGAGGCTAGCTAATTCCTATTGTAGGCTAGGCTAACAATAAATCCAGTAATCTCAACTCAACTTCTACCAAGATCCACTTTAAATTAAATATACACTTACTTACATTTATACACATTACATTTATTCACACATACTATCAACACACTCTTGAAAGGTAGAAACTTACTGTAAAGGGAATAGTTCATTCATTCATTCACTATTTATTACAAGAAAGTTATAGTTCAGCCACTTTTCAGGTAAATGTAAGTAAACTGATTTTTATTAACATTTGAGATTGAATACTCAAGTATGATGCACTATGATGCCTGTCTAAATACATACAAAGTACCTCATATTTGAGCATTGATACACTATTAATACTTACTCCAAATTTATCAATCTGATTTTTACAAATTAAAAAAACTTAGTATCTATCCTCGAAATACAGATACAGTTTTTAAGACCTTTTTAAGACCTATGCTATGTTGATACCTTACCACAAGACCAAATAAAGCAAACTTATTTTTTCTCTTGATATTTATAATTCAACACCAGACTGTAAAAACTTTCAGAATGTATCTATTATTTCATACTTAGGAATGATAAGCTTTTGGTGTTATACCTCACTGAAGAAAATGTGTTTCCCCATTCTATTGTCATATATCACCTAAATATATTGTCTTATACATCAATGATTCTCAAGGTACGGAAATTCTCAATCATCTGAATGCTTTTTTTTTAAATAAACATACCTAATGCCTAAGATTTTAAACACTTTTTTTATACACACATTCCTTCTACTAAGGGTCACTGTCACAGGTAATAATCATTATGTACCTACTTCCCTGAAGTGTAGTAGGCAGAAAAAAATATTTAAAATATTGAAAAGCATTGAGCCAACAGTCCCTTATTTCTCTTCCCTTCTGTCACAACTGAGCTCAAAGATGACAAGAGAATCATAAATTCCCTATGGCAGATGGGCAACAGACTAGTTTAAGAATTAGATAGTACCCCATTCTAAAAATCCTAAACTTGGGGCACCTGGGTAGCTCATTCGGTTGAGCGTCCGACTTCTGCTTGGGTCATGGTCTCACAGCTTCTGAGTTTAAAGCCCCATGTGGGGCTTACTGCTATCAGCACAGAGCCTGCTTCAGATCCTCTGTCCCCCTATCTCTCTCTGCCCCACCACCCCTGCTCACATGCGCTCTCTCAAAAATATATAAACATTTAAAAGAAATAAAAAATAAGCTGCTGGACTCTATCTCCAGAGCTATGAAGCAAGGCCAGGAAATCTATATTTTAAATAAATTCATTAGAACCAACATTAGGAATCCTGTCCTTACTTTCTTTTTTTTTTTTTTTTTTAAATATTTTTATTTATTTCTAGGAGAGAGAGAGACAGCGTGAGCAGGGGAGGGTCAGAGAGAGAGGGAGTCACAGACTGAAACAGACTCCAGGCTCTGAGCGTCAGCACAGAGCCCGACGCGGGGCTCGAACCCACGAACCGCGAGATCATGACCTAAGCAAAAGTCGGACGCTTAACCGACTAAGCCACCCAGGTGCCCCATCCTGTCCTTACTTTCAACATCTAACACTAGGGTCCATTTTAGTTCTTTTCTTTCTTTTCACGTTTTTAAAGTCCTGGAGACTCAAACTCAAGAAAATTCCTAGAAAATACTTTTTAAAGGACATTTCCTCTTTTTTTTTTTTTTTTTACATTTCCTCTTTTTTAAATAGGTTGGGCTGCTAAGAGTTAAGTGTACTAACAAAACATTCAGATTTTGTGTGATGACAAATTACATTTAATCACTGGTTAAAAAGTAAAAGCAAGGTAGTTGAGGTTATAATATATCTCAAAGAAGAAAATTCTCATACTTTCTAATTATTTTGAAATCTCATTCAAATGAATTAAAAGTTTAGTTTTTAATTCGTATTGTACTATCAAATAAACTGGAAACATTTTAACTCTGTGATGTTAAACAGTACAGACACAATAGTATATAGACATTAAAATAATGATTCAGATATACATCACAGAACTTTAATATACAGCAGAAATGTTGGTTAAAAAAGATCACAATGTAACACTTTTAATATTCTATTTGTATAAATTTTATACGTGTACATGCACAGAAATAGTTCATTAGGTACAAACAACAAAATGTTAATGATGGAAGAACAAAGTTATCAAAGATGGGAGGATTTGGGGTAAATATTGATTTTATACCTATGTTTTCCAGTATTATTTTTATGATCAGAGAAAAAAAGCTAATAAAAATTACTGAAAAAGTAAGTCCGGGGCTTTAACATACAAAACAATCCAAATAGCAATCTTCTTTAAATAACCAAAAGAGTTGGGAGCTGGGGCACCTGGTTGGCTCAATCAGTTAAACATCTGACTTCGGCTCAGGTCATGACCTCATGATTCATGAGTTCAAGTCCCACTTGGGCTCTGCACTGACAGCTCAGAGCCTGGAGCCTGCTTCAGATTCTGTGTCTCCCTCTCTCTGACCCTTCCCCCACTCACACTCCATCTCTCTCTCTCTCTCATAAATAAATAAACATTTTTTTAAATAACCAAAACAGCAGATATGAATGCCTGAACTGAGTATTAGTAACAGAATGGTAAAACAATCAACAGAAATCTTAAATTAGATTTACATCATCAAAGACAGATCATTTCTAATTCCTTCTTTAATTCTTATAATCATTCAAGAACACTAAAGAAATCCAAATAAGTTTATCACTTCACAATTTTTAACCTAACCCCAAAATAAAGTAGAAGATGAACAATGAGGTGGCTACTGTAAAATTCTCCTTTAAGGGGCACCGGCTCAGTTGGTTTGAGCATCTGACTCTTAATTTCGGCTCCGGTCATGATCTCACAGTTTGTGGGTTGAGCCCTGCATGGGGCTCTGTGGTGGTATCTGCACTGATAGCAACGAACCTGCTTGGGATTCTCTCTCCCTCCCATTCTCTCTGCCCCTCACCCATGCACATGTGCCTTTCTCTTAAAATAAACAGACTTTAAAAAAATAAAAAGGAAAAGAAAGAGAATAGCTTATTTCATTTACACACATGAATTTGGTCAATAAATGTAAACATATATATATATATATATATATATAACTAACCTGGTTTTCCTCCTGCACAACTCTATACTGTTCCTTCCAAATTGTGATTTTGGAAGCTTCATCTTTTCTCAAGGCTCGTTCTTTCTTCAGCTCTGGGCTCCAAAAAGTCTTGATGCTATTCATTGAAGAACTTAATTTGCTCTCCTTTACTTCCACGTCCTTCCGCAAGAGATCATTTTCTCTTAGTACTTCCTTCAGCTGTGTCTGCAGATCCATGATTGTATTATCTCTTGCCTGACGAAGAGAGTGAGGAACAGTGGATGCCATACTCACAGGAGGGAGGTGATGCTCTCCAAATGCTATGGTGTCACTAGCAACCCCACTGCTAGCTATATTGGGGCTACTGCCCATAGCAGTCATCCTGACACCATATGGCAGACGTCCCCCAGAACGGCCAAGTGTCATGGTGCTTTTAGGTGTTTCCGAACCCACATTTTCATGGTCACTTAGGTACATAGGGCCAGACGTGGCATAGGCAGCATTTAAGGATTGGATATTCTCCATTGAAAGGGTTTTCCCACTGCCACCTCCAACACTGCTTCCAGAACTCCCTCCTGTACTATTGGTTCGACGATGACCCAAGCGAGGAGAACGTGGAAGCCTAGGTGAACGCCCAGGGCTCTGGTTGCTTGGTTCCACCTTCCCAACTGAGCGAGCACTTCCATACATGGTTGCAGGCTGAACTTAGATGCCAAGAAAGATGTAAAGCAGAAAGCAATATATGAAATTCTGTGAGGTTTCTCAATGGCTTTAAGTCTGCTTAAGGCTAATCAGAAATAACAGGTCTTCAGGTGTCCAGTCTTGAAGAAATACCTTACACCATATCTGCAATGAAAAGATCACACATTAAATCCTCCAATAATAAACATCTCCCTGTCAGAAACTTTTCATTACCCCCACATAAGATTTCCCTTTTTATCATCAATTGATTCATTCATTCAAAATTTGTTTACAGCACATTTCACTGTAAACATTTTAACAGTATTTTGCATGTCTCAAAACTGAATAATGAAACCATACCATGCAAATGGAAAAGAAAAAGAAATAAGGGGTATAAAGACTAGCAATAAAAAGATAAAACTCAATGTGTGAATATATGATTTTCTAACTGGAAAACCCAATGTTATTACCTGACAAATTATTAAAATAATAGAACTCTACAAATCGGTCAGACACAAGATCAATATATAAACATCAGTACTTTCCTGTACATTAGTAATAACAATTAGAAAATCCAATTTTTTTTAAAAATCCCACTCACAGTAGCAACAAAACCATAAAAACACTTTGGTATAAATCTAACAAAAACATACAAGCATTTTTGGAAAAAGCTATATAAAACTTTACTGAAAGAACACTTAAACAAAAGGAAAACTATCCATATTCATGGATAAGAAGAAACAATGTACAAGTTACCAGTTCTTTCCCAAATACTGCATATCCCAATAAAAATCTCCCAGGATTCTCATATAACTCAACAAGCTGACTCTAATATTCAAACAGAAGAGTAAAGTTTTAAGAATAACATAAATAACTTGCAACAGAAAAACAAAGATGGAAGATGTTCCCTAAATAGCAAGATAAATTATAGGTCCATGATCCTTTACCTGTAATGCAAAAACCAAAAAAGTTCTCTAAAAGTGAGTTTTGTTTCTTAACTCACATAGCAGTAAAACCTAACCTGATCTGGTGTGAGGTATCTTACTGTTTATAGGTATCTTATGTAGTGTGATTATTCATACTCATTGAGAAAACAATGTAATATGATTACAGGATACTGCATAATGCCCAATGGGTATGGAGGGGTGGAATCTGGACTCTGACCCACATCTGACTGAACCCAGGATTTCTCATAAGGACTTACAGCCCTTTTTTTTTTTTTTAAAGAGAGAGAGCAAGTGCAAGGGCAGGAGGGAAGAGAGTGAGGGGAGAGGGGTAAGGAAAGGGAAGAGAGAGTGGGGGAGAATTTCAAGCAGGCTCCACGCTCAGCACAGAGCCCAATGTGGGGCTCAATCCCACGAACCTGGGACCATGACCCAAGCTGAAATCAAGAGTTGATGCTCAACCATCTGAGCCACTCAGGCACCTCAGTACTTACAGCCTTTTAAAGCCATAGTATTTAAAACTGTATAGTACTGGTCCAGGAATACATCTGAATTATATATGTAAGCTTAGTATATCCTAAAGTAACATTTCAAAAGAGTGAAAAATAGGGGCGCCTGGGTGGCTTAATAGGTTAAGCATCCGACTTTCGCTTAGGTCATAATCTCGCGGTTTGTGGGTTCGGGCCCCGCGTCGGGCTCTGTGCTGACTGCCAACTCAGAGCCTGGAGCCTGTTTCGGTCTGTGACTCCCTCTCTCTCTGACCCTCCCCTGCTCACGCTGTCTCTCTCTCTCTCCTAGAAATAAATTAAAAAAAAAAAA